ATGCCCAGCTGACTAGCTTGTCTCCCAAAAACTGTAGATGTCCTGTTGTACTTTTCCTGTCCAACCTACAGCCTGCATAGTCTGCATCTGAATAAGCTGTCAGTTCAAAACTAGTACCCTTGGGATACCAGAGTCCAAGATTAGCAGTCCCTTTAAGATATCGGAAAATGCTCTTAACGACACTTAGATTGGACTCATTTGGATTAGACTGATATCTGGCACAAATATATATTGAAAACATTATATAAGGTCTATAAGACGTCAAATACATCAAAGAACCTATCATGCCTCGATATGTTTTTTGGTCAACAACTTTTCCAGAAGGATCAACATGGATTTTCGTTCCATGAGCCATAGGTGTTTTGATAGATGAACAGTTTTTCATATTAAATTTCTTCAGGATGTCTAAAATATATTTAGTTTGACAGATAAAGATACCGAAGATAATTGTTTAATTTGAAGACCTAAAAAGAAGTTCATCTCACCCATCATACWCATTTTAAAACGAGAAACCATCAAGGCAGAAAAGTTATCCAAGTTTCCAGCATTTTCATTATATAGTTTGATGTATTTTTTTTTGCGTTTTTAATTGTTTTTAAAAGTTATTTGAACGCATTTTTTCTGATTTTATTTTTTGCTGGAAAGATTGGAGTTTGAGCATCATCTTTTGCATCTGTTTAATACATGATTGATCCAATACCTCTTCATTCATTTCCGCAGTCTGTTCTTCTTCTTCACCTGAAGAACAGTTATCCGATCTAGCCATCAAGCACACATGTGCAACAGCTTCAGTTTCTTCCTCTTCATCAGTCAGATTCAGCAGTGTTCATCCTCAGCCATAAGTGGTTTCCCGGCATCTCTTTGTTTGGAAAGAAGAAATTTATTCTTGTAGTAGTCGGTATCTCGATTTACCGGCTTCCTATAATTTACTGCAAAGTGGCCTAGCTTACCATAGTTATAGCATTTAGTGTTCTCATCAGCTACACCTTTGCTAAACTTCTTCTTCTCTTCCGAGTTTTTCTCATACTTCTTCTCGAACCTCTTTTCTTCATATTTCTTCTTCTCGCCAAATTTGTCTTTGAATTCATATTTTGAACCTGACGAGAATCTTTGGTTGTTCGAGTGTGGCCGTTTT